CCTTTGCCGTAATACTTCCTTTAACGAACACAAATCACTAGCATTGTCATGGTCATCTGGGAGGAGATTCGCGTTTAGTGCTTTCCTCAGGAACAGTTCGCGGCCACCAACTGCCACCTGTCTAGTCTTGGGCGTATCCAGCGAGGCATCTTTCATATTGCTCGCAATCTCCGACACTGGCGAGAGACCAGCAGTCGAGCATTTTTGCAAGCGGAAAACTTGCTGATTCACGGCAACGTCGGCCACCGAATCACCACCAAAACTCGCGACGGACACATTATCAACACGTTCCCGGGTAGTTCACCAACCGGAGCGATCTCTCAATAGAACTACACGCCGAAAGTGTAGCATCCGAACTCGGAGAACCAGGCTCCCGGGAGACACCGAACAATGGAACTGAAGCTGCGTCGTATATTTTGGAGGTTAGATTCAAGGTCAACCGAGTCACTCAAGGCAAACACAGGCAAAACACGATATATCACTAAATGATAACTTTATGGACACTTGAAACTAAATTTCAGCACACAAATTAACAAATTTAAAGCCAAAAAGTGTTTAATTCGCTTACGAAAAATACGCAGCAAAAGAAAAACACGTCAGCTTTCAAGCGCGGCCTACTGCGATCTTTTCAACAACTGTCTAGCATTGCTTTGCGCAGAAATTCAATTGACTTTTGTTGAAAAAGAGCAATTGGTTTCTGTGCTCTTGGATATCAAGGAGGCTTTTGATGCAGTATCGGTCAAGTCTCAGTTCGATTGAGGCTATTCGGTCGATGAAACCAGGTACTCATCTTATTTCCTTTCAAAGGTAAGGGAGCAGATGAGTATGCTGGTCGAAATATGATTACCTTTGTATGGGTCCCCTCACATTGCTCAATCCCAGGCAATGAGAAGGAGGACTCTCTCGCAAATGTGGACGCGCAGGAAGGCGAATTTTATTACAAGCAAATTTCACACGATGAATTTTACCAATTAGTGCGTCAGAGTAGTCTTTCGGGTTGGCAAACCGATTGGGACAATGGAAATCTTGGAAGGTGGTTACATTCTATTATTCCTAATGTTTCTTCGAGAGCTTGGTTTAAAGGCTTGGACTTAGATCGTGACTTCATTCGCGTGATGAGTAGACTTATGTCCAACCACTACTCGCTCAATAGAATAAACCTCGTGGACAGCAACATCTGTTGGTGTGGAAACGGTTACGATGACATCGATCACGCAGTTTGGCAATGTACGGATAATGACGCCACTAGAGAGCGACTTTGGAATACCCTCGAGGCCCAAGGAAGACAACCCTATATCCCTATCAGAGACGTGTTGAATGCCTGCGATCTCTACTAAAGGGTGATACGGTCAAAATTTGGTCAAGGGAAAACGCGTGTAAATCGGTGAAATCGTTTATTTAAAAAATCAAATTAAATTTCTTTTTCAAGTTCAATTAGTATAAAATTCAGGAAAAATATTCAGTTAGGCTTCCGCTTTTCCAAATCCGAATTGCCGGGCCTTACGCTTGACCCCTGCCATCAGATTTTGTACAGCCACCTTGTCCACCTTCTTCGCCGCAGAAAGCCAGTTTGCCTTGAACTGCTGCTCGCCCTTAGCAGTTTTTTGGTCTTCTTTAGGTTCCGCTTGACAATAGCCCAGTATTTCTCAATTGGGCGGAGCTCTGGCGTGTTGGGAGGGTTCTTGTCCTTGGGAACCACCTGCACGTTGTTGGCGGCGTACCACTCCATGGCCTTTTGACGTTGGATAACGTCTTTCGGCAACATACGGGGGTACAAAATTGAAAACAGTCATTTTAGATGCGTTACGAAAAATTAAAAGATTTTGAACGATAATAACTCAACCGTCTCTCGATAGATTTACGAGATAATGGCATCAATCGATTGGAAATATTTCTAGCAATTTGCTGAATGTTGATAAACTATTGATTTCATTCTGTAAACTATTGAAAAATGGTTAAAAGTAAACCATTGTCTAAAGATGGTGAAAATCGATTGATTTTTTTATATTCTTATATTTCGCCAACCGAGACATCAGATGCGAGTATCTGACACCTCTGATATTTTCTGTTCTACTATATAAGCGTCCAACAAGGTCGCCCGTTCCATCATTGTCTATCCGATCGTCGACCCAGCAGCAGAGCAGCAGAGCAGCAGTACCAGAGCAGCGGAAGCAGAGCAGCGGCAGCAGAGCAGCGGCAGCAGAGCAGCGGCAGCAGAGCAGCGGCAGCAGAGCAGCGGCAGTGCGTTGGTGCCAGTGCGCCGAGTGCGTTGGTGCCAGTGCTCCGGTATACTGGGTCGCCGTCATGGAATGCCCAGCTGCTGCAGTTCTCAGTCGGTCGTATTCACCGTATGCTCCGCAAGGACAACTACGCCGAGCGCCTTGGACAAATGGCCCTTTTCAGGGCCACAACATTATCAAGAAAGTGTTTAACGTACGTATGCGAGTATCTGACATCTCTGATATTTTCTGTTCTACTATATAAGCATCCAACAAGGTCGCTCGTTCCATCATTGTCAACAACATCAGCCCAACAAAACGGACCTTTTCAGGGCCACCAAACTTTCGCAAAAGAGTTATTAAGGAATATTCCAAAAATATAATATACACAATTAAGTACAACACATAACAGACGTTATCCAACGCCAACCCTGCGGTCGTATCTAGTATACAACCCTTCCAACTTTTTACCGTAATGGCAAGATGCCAAATCCGGCCAAAACAGTACGGAACAACCGTGTTTCTTCAGGAAAGGCAGCAGACGTTTATTCAAACACTCTTTCACGTAAATTTCTTGGTTGACAGTCCCGGAAGCTATGAAAATGCTGCTTTTCCAGCCACAGGTACAGATGGCTTGCCAAACCAGATATTTCTTTGCGAACTTTGACAGTTTCATGTGCTTGAAAACATCTGCTACCTTTCCCCTTCCTTTTGCCGTATAAAACTCCTGTCCCGGAAGCTGCTTGTAGTCGGCTTTGACGTAGGTTTCGTCGTCCATTACCACGCAGTCAAACTTCGTCAGCATCGTCGTGTACAGCCTCCGGGATCGCGCTTTGGCCGTCGTATTTTGTTTATCATCGCGATTTGGAGTCACTACCTTCTTGTAAGTCGATAGTCCGGCTCGTTTTTTGGCTCGATGCACGGTTGTAGACGATACACCCAGCTTATTTGCGGCATCTCGAAGAGAGAGGTTAGGGTTTCGCTTGAAACTACCGGCAACTCTCTTTGTCGTCTCAGCGGCTTCCGGTTTTCGATTTCCCCCCGATCCAGACTTCCTGGCTGTCGACAAACGTTCCCCAAACACTTTAATTACATTTGTAACGGTTGATTTGGCAACTTTTAGCGATTTTGCCAACTTTGCGTGCGAGTAGCTCGGATTTTCGCGATGCGCGAGCAAAATTTTGATACGCTGCTCTTCTTGCTTGGACGGCATTTTGACAACTGAAGAGTGAATTCCAAAATCAAAATAGGAGCAACATTCTACACACACACACCTTCAAAATGAGGGGTGGTCAGGTTTTTTAAATGCAAAATTGAAAGAAATACGTCAAGTTGATATTGACCAAATTTTGACCATATAACCCTTTATATGCAGTCGATTGATGTGCTTCTGTAAATGTCTAGTATAAGAATTTAATTCGTTTGTCTTTTGTATCTCTTAATTAGTTTTTGTTTGTCTTGTCCCCCGTCACCATAGCCGGTCGAACTCCAGACGAATCTAGAACCACACTACCGTTCATACTCGCTCTGATGAGACAACGAAACCCTGCCCCCAAGCTCCTCCCCTTTTCATACCCTTCGACAATGTACCCCTCTAACATCGGGTAAGCCACGAGTATTCGGCCCAACTCCTACTAGACATATAATTAAGTGAATATTGTTACAAACAAAGAACAATGAATTATCGGCTCCGTAAAGCTAACGTGATTGAACCTTACATATAAACGAACTAGATAAAAAAATCGATTAGATATGTGATAAATTTTTTGAGTGTACCAATGCTACCGCCGCCAGGGAGGGAGCTCGACCGGGGACCAACGGCTTTACTTCAGAGATTTCACGCTTACCACGGTCCTAAAACCCGTAAACCGGCCGAAAGCTCTAATAATAATCTCATAATAATCTTGAAACGTTGAAACACACCATAAAGACGCTAAAAATGGCCAAATATAAGTCAAAATCTAACTTTTAAAAATTAATTTTAAATGCCACAATGACATTTAAATCTCCAAAATCTAACATTTCAAAAGTTCCTATCTGCATTGCTCGACTCTCTTCATTGACTTTCTCTTTCGGCAATAACTCAGCTGCAAAAACATTCCCTGTTGTTTTTGAGGCTTTAGACGCTATATTAGAATCTTCTTTACAAAACTATGTGGCAAAAATAGCCCAAAATCTGTTTGCAGTCCTGGGTATCAAAACCTTTTGACATGTTTGTATAGAAATGCCCTTAAAACTCTTAACTATTTCTCGAATTACGTAAATGATGATTGTTCAATCCTTAAAACGCCAAAACATTGAACCCATTAATCGCAAAAATGGCATTGCAAGTTTTCTAAAATGATTTTAGATTTCCAGAATAGTTAAGGGAGAAAGAATTCGTTAAGAGATCTAAACTAGTATTAGAAAATGTAAATGCTTCTGACCAAGTTGTCTGAATTTGCACGACCCACCTGTATTGAGAAACGCTATGCTAAGTCATACCAAACTTTTTTGATGTAAAAGTGAAACTTAGTTTATGAGCGATATTCACATTGCTATAAGTAAATAAATAAACCACACATAACGCAAGTAAATCATATTCGTTCAAGGACAGTTGATAAGAGACAGTTAAAAATCGCTTCAAAAATCGTACCTTATCACTGCTAGAGTTTAACATTTATGAGAATAAGACCTCTTAATATGTTGCCGTTTCTTCGTGTTCTTTTTTACCGGCACAGAATAAACAAAAATTCACCCTCTTTCAATATTTACCGCTGGAAGACTATTTTGTATACTCACCTTTTGTTCATCATCTATGTAGATAATTTTATTCCAATTGATATCATCCATCATGACGCTGTTCGGTTGATTATCACTAACCCTCGACTTCTAACAAGATTGCACTCCACTAACCCAGAAAATTAATCTAATGGTTTTCTAAACTTTTCTTCTGCACTATGAAACCTTTTAGGAGGCACGTACCCCGATTTGTCACCTTTCATCGACCGCCGACTCCTATCAACTATATATACAAGCGTAAAGAATTGAAGAGAGAGATGCACTGTCTTCGTACTACACAATCACTGACGATTTATAAAAGTTTGTTCTATTTACACACCAACTGTGGCCGAAGCCCCGGAGATCTCCGGGTCCGCTTATCAGTCTAGGAGTTTACTTTGCTTTGTTTTTCACTGCGTATCTCCCATACCGGTTCGGCGACGTCATTGAGGATCCAGAGATGCTCTACAGAGCACTTGGCTACCTACAATTTACAATAGAGCATGTGAGATTAGGGTAGATGCATTTGGTCATCCTTTTCTTACATTTACTGATTTGGCAAAGTTGTTGCCGGGATCCCTGATTGTTACCTAATATTTGAACGGGCGCTTCACATGTGTCGCGAATAATACGCACAAATGTACTGGAGTAACAACTGTAAGCAGAACGCAATTTTGATCGTCGCGCTTGATTCGTCACTTGGAGTGCTTCATTCGTTATTTGGTACTGGAATTCCAAGGGATGTTCGGAGTAAGGTACGCTGCTACTGTACAAAGGTACTCCGGATAAGTCTTTCCATTCACTTTCAGTTTGCCCTTAGCGCACTTGTATGTAATACGATATTCAACCGCTTTTCGTATCCTTATACGCTGTTAAACCGGTATCACGCCAACTCGGTGACGACCACGCGCAGGTATCGAACTAAAAATAGATGAATTTTCAATACATGAACAACCACGTGGTTGCCGTAGGTAAATAAGCAGTCGATACATAACCATAGAGTAATGTGAAATCATTTTAACTAGGTATCTTTCCCTATGTTTGTCTCATTTGCACCGAAAGCCGGAGGGAACAGGACTCTATGACTTTGCCCCGAATGCTACTACCCCGAACCATTACCGTGAAAGCACTACCATACTTGACGCTGTTTTTCACTATAATATATGCCTTCCTTTATACAAATGTTACATGAAACGGCGATTGAATGCCATTACCCCGAACGTACCATAACCCCGAAAATTGATAAGATACCAAGATTGTGCTACATTACCCCGTTAAAATATATATCCCATCACCCCAATTGTACCATCATAACACCGACGAACCTACGTGACAGCTCATACAAGCTACTTTCAAATTCATGCCCAAGACGCCATATTTAAAATACGTTAAACACTACCGACATCTACTTATCCGATCGGGTCATACCATAAGCAAGGACACGAACCCATGTATAATTTATATTGCCTTGGTTTGCGTCTCACCTCGTTTGACAGATCTGATCGCCCATTTGACAGTTCGTATCGCTCGTTTGACAATTCGAATTGTGGACAAACGAAATGCTCCTGTGGCATTTCGGTTCGTCGGTGATCATAACCCCGAAAATGGATACAGATACCAATTCTTGAATACTTCAACTCTTTACAACTCGATGTTGAATGGATCTTTAACACATATAGAAAAAATGGCGGGGCTATGTACAAGATACGACCAACAATCAATACGAAACTAACGGTTTTAAATTGGCTCATTACTTGACTAGCCTATTGGTGCCAAGCAAATCGATCAACGTACCCCCTTCTAGTATAAATTTCAGTACTACACTATGGATGTTTTGATTCGCTATGAAAGTTTGACAGATAAAATGAGGGGTTCGTGGATTTTCCTATGTTTCGAGGGGTGAATCGATTAGCTTGGGGCCGAAGATAGTACCAGAGCTGAGCCAAAAAGTTGAGCTCGTTTCTTCGGGACCTTCTGGTCTTAGAGTTACCTCTATGATACGACCGCATGGTTGACGTAGACTACGTTAAGCTGTGTAGTGAAATTATCGTGCATTTTTCTAGATATTGATTTAAAATACAGTATGGTGAAATTATAATCAGATTGAAGCTGATTGACTAAGGAACGTTTAAATTTTGGTTGCCGAAAACAGTCAATGGGTACCGAAGCCATCATTTACCCTAACTAATAATAATAAACTATTTTATCAACCGACGTACTTCCAATAATTTCTTCGCATAAACAGAATGCGACTAAAATTTTGATTTACTGTCGAAATTTCAACCGTACGAAAAGTCCAGCAAAAATTAATGAAAACTATCAAAATTTATTATGCTCATCATTTTCCGTAATTCTGGCAACTGAAACAAGCTGGGATGAAAGCGTTAAAAGGAGAGAAATCTTTGAAAATGCATTTAATGTATTTAGGTCTGCTGCAAATAACGCGAAGACTTCCCAGCGAACAATTTTAGCTGATTTAAAACTAAATAATAAATTTATCAGCTGCAGAAGCATATTTTTGCCTCAATATGCTTTTTTAGAAGACAACAAATCAAGATGATCGTATGAGAAAATGGAAGAGTTACCAGTCTTCTTGATATGATGTATTCGCTTTTATTCAACATTCAATGATTATTGGGTTGTTCTAGCGGAAATGCCGTTGTCATCGGCGAACAAACAATTGTGGCAACCCTGAGGCAAATCAGCGAGGTCCTAGTAAAAATGTTACACCATATAGGCACAAGAATGCTACCCTGAGAAAGTTCTGCTCTAACAGGTAGTCGATCAGATGATGAATTCTGATAATTTAGCTGCAGAGTTACGTCAGCAGCGGCGCCGATGGTGTAGTGGTAAGCGTGATTACCTCTCACCCCAGCAGGCCTGGGTTCAATCCCAGTCGACGCCGCCGCGATGTTCTGAGGCATAACATCTCTGATCACGGGGATGCAGGTTATTACACTATATCCTCATCAAAAAACTCGCAGAGAAGAGTACCTTGTCTTTCTTGAAAAAAAAAAAATTCAACAGGTGTTTCCTAGAGTCGGTGTATAATGAGTCACGCCAAGAGTAAAGCCAAGTCTACCTATCGAACTGTCAAACCAGCTACCTATCGTGCAAAATAAACAAACATTACGATGCTATGAAAGGTCCACGAAAGTTATTGCAATAAAATATAAAATATAATCGAAGAAATGATAATAAACACGCAGTGCGCATTCAATTGTCATGGGATACGTTTGGTAATGATCAGGAATGAGAATTTCTACTAATTTTTGTTAAGATAATTTGATAAAATCACTAATATAATGATTTACTACAGCCGCTATTATTTTTTCTCGCTAGAAGTCATTTGAAGTTGATGTAGCAGTCCTCTGTTGCCAAGTTAAAAGAAAGGGAATATTTCGAAAACCGTGATGCGAGTTCAACTGTTTTTCTCTTGGCGTGACTCATTATACACCGACTCTAGTGTTTCCATTTGGCATACTTTCCTGATAAATGGGAAAATGCAAAAGTTGTTCCAATATTGAAGCCGAATATTTTCCATCGAAGTTGTTTTCTGTGCTGAGCACCAATGCTAACGACGCCAAGGAGGCAGCTCCCACACCTGGACCCTACCTATCGACCCGAAGAAAATCATTATTATTTTTGGCTCACTCAGTACCAGAACAACGGTTCCAAGCAGTCCCAAGCTATTTCACTCACCCCTGCATGTTCTGCATGAATCCACACACCCCTGATGTTATCTGTCAAACTTTCATAGCGAATCAAAACAAACATAGTGTAGTAATAGAATTTCAACTAGAATAGGGTACGTTAATCGTTTGCTTGGGACCAATACTACTAAAGTGGTGAGCCAATTTAAAATCGTTAGTTTCGTATTGATTGTTGGACCAACGGCTTTACCAACCGGTCCGCACTCGTGTTTATTTCAGTTACCATTATTTATGTACGGCCTTAAATTTGAAATGACGTTTCACCACCGACAAACCGACATGACACTTAATTCTTAATTATGTCCGAAAATCGTAAACGGTCGATTTAAATGTGCGGGATCCGAACTGTCAAAACCATAGGATTTATTTATCTAGATAAAAATAATTTGTTCAGAATAGATCAGACAGGAACCAATTCATAACTTTTGCATGTGGGTTCATGGCTTAGCAAAATATTTCCCGCGAACCCGGAGCCAGATGTCATTAGTGTGCTTTGGTCAGACATTTTATTGTTTTTGCTATGGTCATTCATGTCGGTTTGTCGGTGGTTTCACATTCATCTAGTGATGGCCGATTTTCATTAGAATAATCGATTAATCGATTAACGAACAGAAAAGTAAAATATTTGTAATTGGTTATATCATGCTGATACAAGCATGAACTTCTCCAGAGGATCATCACCCATTGTTTCAAACATATGCTGCACTCTCATTGGTGGAAAAATGACAGCACAGCGAACAAAAAATAATCGATTAGATGTTAATCGAATAATTTAAAACATGGGACATCTCTGATTTTAGTGTGATTGTTTTGATATAAAAAGAGCTCAAAATTTCATCTCTACCGAGGGGGCAGCAAAACCACAAAATTACCTTGCATACGGGTTGATATTCATTGGATGAAAGGGACCGTAAAAAAGGACACTAAAATATAAAGTTTTTCTTCCAACAGTTTCATCTTAGTATTCTTCTTTGGTATGATTGGCCGTGTGCAGAAGAATCATCATACCTGGGGGCAAGACAGCTTTTGATCATGAGTAAAATTTGAGTTAATTTTGAGCAACTCTGAGTAACTCGAGTTGCTCAACATGCGATGCACGGCAACACAGCAACCTTGTTGTGTTCGTTCCCCAACTGTCAAAGAAAGACGTTCAACGGTGATAAATATTTCTAAATTCTGCAGCTTCCCATTGTCGAAAGGTGAATCCTGATGAATGTGGGCGTCGTAGTGAAATAGCTGTATAAAGAGATAAAATGGTGGTTTACACTGGATAACCATCCATAGATAGATCCCATGACCTTCCTACTGCTTTGTGCCAATCCTTTGTTAGCCGTTTTCATCCGAGTCTAATGCAGGCTGTTATCGGTCGACGTTGACCATAGCATTTGCAGATTCAAAATATGATAAATTTTCCGAAATACATTTGGTAAAATTAACCACAGATTGAATCTTCGAAAGACATCAAAGTTACGACTACTACTTTGCAATAGTATTCTCTGACTTTTGTCTGAATGCCCAAGAATTAATGCAGAACTTTGAGGCAGTAAGAAGTCTAGAAAAATAATGCTGGTTGTCATGACTTTCAGAAAAAAATAACTATTTGCCACTAAGTTCAACCCGAGATTAATAGAAAAGCAATACATTGTCATCGTATAGCCATATTTTAAATTTTATGTTTCCATAA